GAACCGCCGCGTTGGTCGTGTGGTATGCCGCATACGATCGATAATCGACACACTATCGGGCTGCCGACCCAAATGGAAATTTTATATCGGGCTGGCTTGACGACCGATCAAACGCGGATCGTATCTATACTTTGTTACATTCCGATATTAAAGATTATAAATATAAATTATTGTTAATTTTGTCGCGAAATATATGTTGTGATAAACTAGTCTTCAAACTTGGTATTCTTTCTCCTTCTCTCTGTTAAACTATCATTGATTGACGTCACCGCAATGAAAATAAATCGTTCAAGCGTTAATGGAACGACAAGTTTGAGACACAAGTTGAAGAACAATCTACTTGGAAACTTGTTCGCGCGATATATCTCCGCCAACTATACGTGGGACCTAGATTTTCGGAATACACGCGTTTTTCCGATGAACAATATTCCTCGAATTCGAATCGACGTGTATACTCGATTGATTCGCGTTCGCGCGCGGGACGCTTTCGAGAGAATCGCCTTATTGATTAGACGCGCGACAGGCGTCGAAGTGTAAACCTCGCATTGGCTGATTATTCACTCGGCATTACCAGGTGTATCAAATGCTAATGCGCGGCGAAGCAAGGTACTCGAGCATCTGCTTAAACAGCCCTTCGCGATCGTCTCTCACTCCGGGGCCCAATCTCCCATCGCAAATCTCAACGATTCAATTCGCAGTTGCCAGTTGCATAAGCGCCTCCGATCTCGCTGCTTATCCCGCGTTACCGTCCGATTCATTCGACAATCTCATTCGGTATCCGTCCCGCTTGACACGAATCGAAAATGAATCTCGGATTAATAGCGCGGCGCACGAATCTTATATTGGTTTTATTCGCGATTCCATTAAAAGAAATACCGAATATATGGTACAATCGAATTATCTCATATTCGCAAACCTGTCTCCAAATTAAATTAAAATTATACAGTTCAACCTATATCGAATTTTTTTTAATAAATAGTGAATAAAACATACAAATTATTCTAATAAAATAAATTATATTAGTATGAGACTCTTAGAACGGGATAAATTTCAATCGACGAAAGATAAAAAATTCAGATTTTCTTTGCTAAGGATGAATTTTTTAAGCCATTATTCAAATGTATGAAAGAAACTGCACTTTTCCTTGGGATTCTCATGCATGTGACAAGTAAAACCACTTTCGGATAACGTTAGCTCTTCGCCTTTTCTCGTTTTCCGTTTATTACTTTTTTTCATCGTTAAAACGTATACTCTCTCGAGCAATATTTACACCCTTCTAGTCTAACTTGTCTTTTGCATTTCGCGACGCGTATATATACGGGCATAACGTACGGAACGACTATCCCACCGTCTCTCCCGCTTATCCCGCACATTTTCATTCTCGCCTCTCCCTCGGAACGACTATAGACTATAGCGACTATTCGCATCGGCCATATCAGCCGGTGCCAATAACGTACCGGGCAGATGGGAGATGCGGTGAGGACCGGGTGGTTGTTGGACCGTCCAACGGACGGGGGCGGCGGGGACAGCCGGGACGCTTTACCATCCGCAGACTCGTATTCATCGATCACCGTACCCGCCTAATTATAGCGTTTCACTAAACTCGCGCTCCTCGAAAAAGGGTGATGATCGCGATTATGTCCTGAGAATAAAATTATATGTATACTTTAGCGAAATATTTTGGTATTTTTCGCAATTTTAACGATATCAAAAATTTATCGGAAATTTTATTCACCCCCTAATATCATGCGTTGAAGAAAGATCGGCCGATGAAAAAATATAGACTAATTGTTCTTTCCATATCGATACTTGCAAATTTGTTACGAGACAAGTCTAAATTTTGCACTTCCTCGATTGTTCTTATTGTTAGATCTACAATTAATCTAGAAGAATTAACGTACGGCACACTTTTTAACTTTCGCAACCGATGCTTTTATGCTTTCAAGCCGGCTGGGGGAGACCGATCGCGAGAGAAAAGAGGGAGAGAAGAGAACCGCATTGCGCGCGTTTAAAGCGTATTAACATTGACTGGCGTTTTCGTAGTAGTCAGTGACGGAATTCAAAGTCAAGTACATGGACCTTTGTCCGCTTAATTTGTCGTGCAGCTGAGCGTAATGACCGCGCTTGCCTTTGAACCATACGGTGTGTGAAACGTTGCCGTCGTAGCATCGCGTCGGGAACGCACGTTTCCACACTTGTACACATAACCGATGTGCGTATCGCGAAAGGGAAAGACCACGTGTACATACATCTTCGTATATAAAAACATGTCTTCCCGATGACGTTGCGTTTGCCGTTGCATTTTCGCAACAATGTTTTCGAACCAGTAGCATATCTAACAATAAGTTTAAGTGCATGATGATCGCTTGATTGGTCTCTGATGTAATCGAAAATAATAAGAGAGCGAGTTATTATTAATATTTCCATATATATTTTTATATATATTTAAAATAATTATATATGTATATTGTTTAGAAAAAAGACTAGTATTCTTTTTTCGATAAATACATTATTTTTCTTCTGTAAAAATCTATTTTTCTGTGTTGCCATTTCTTAAAAAAAGATGATAAAATTTTGAAAATATTTGATGAATCTTAGGAATAATTATGTATCAAAATTTTCGATATAATATTGCTATAATAATTATTATATTAGTTATTATTATATTATAACATATAAAAAAGAAAGATTCGAAAACAGCAGATCTATCATAATCAAAACGTTGAATAATTTGATTGCCAATGTAGAGTGCTACTAGCAAAGTCATTCCTGTGACGATGACTCGCGAATTAGGAGTACATTAATATTTCGTCGCGAACGTATTCGCCCTATGTTAGCGACATGACGAGCTTTAACCGTGATTCACACGTAAATTGAGAAGAAAACTTGGCATTACTTGGCGAATTCATTGCAACAATGGCAAAGCCCGCGAGAAACTCCCACATGTTAATTTCGCTGGCGCGTCTCGAGTCCTTGAAGGTCTATAATTACGCGCCGTTGAAAATGAAAGAAATTCCCTGTAGGCCAGCGTGTCCATTGTCCCTGCATTGTCAGGCCAATTCTTTGTCCGAGGTGAAGCCTCTCGATCGCAATTTTTTCGGGAACGCGATTCACATTGCGCCCCGCCGTCCCTGTACCCTCCACGGCGCATCAGAGATGCCAAGTGTGTAGCTACATGCATTTAGGGTTTAGAGAAAAAAAAAATCGATAAAGGATTTATGGCATCTAATGTACGAATACATATGGCGTATTCCTTTTTCTCTCGTAACGGAATGCGAAATGCTGTAACGTAAATGCATCGCGCGCCTATCTCTTCTCCGAGACGATGTGAAATATTTAAATAGAACGGGAGAGCCGTGTCGAAGCTCTTTAGAAAAAGAAATGCAACCGATGTTTTTGCAAAGGTTGCTAAGATTTCTAGCAATTCTACGGATGAAAAGAGAAGAGAGCCTATATAGCGTAAGGGTGTGCGCTTATAACGCGAGATTGGGATTCGATCTAGCTTCTTCCCCCTCAGATTCCCCGCTGCGAAGACGACTGACCAGACTTACCCGGCGACGATTTTTATTGCTCGTCGCCTGCAGGGCCCGTCATTCTCCTCTGCGCGAACTTTCTGCGTCGGGAATGCCACCCACAATTCACGATGTTAATCATCGGACGCTCGCTCTTTTTTCTCCTCGTTCGCTTTTCGTCAGTCCCGCCTTACATCGA